ATATATATATATATATATATATATATCAGTAAGATTTTTAATGTTTTTGAAAAAAGTCTCTTATGCTCATCAAGGCTGTATTTATTTGATCAAAATATTGGGGGAAAAACAGTAAAACTGTGTAATATTATGCAATTCAAATGAATGGTTTTCTATGTGAATATCTGTTAAACTGTAATTTATTTCTGTGATCAAAGCTGTATTTTCAGCATCATTACTCCAGTCTTCAGTGTCACATGATACAGGTGTTTTTTTTTTTTTTTTGGTGTGGGCATGTCTGAATATTCAGATGTTTGCTTCATAACCTGTGACGATACTTCCTCTGTTTATGCCTGTGAGTGACTCTTCCTTGGCCGGTGACTCCTCTGTGTTTCCAGATAACTCTTCAAAACATTATGTGGAAAAACTCCAGCCGTGTGAATGGCTGGCGTGACTGGCGCGTCTCTCCACGGGCCTCCTCGAGCGGATGTCGGGCTGCTTTGACCCGCTGGAACGCTCTCCTCTCCAGCAGCCGGTCACATGACCCGGTGACAGTGGATGGAAATACACAATCACAGCCGGTTTTTGCTCGCTGTTGCACGGCTGCCACTTCAGCTATTTATAATGCATGCCAGAGAATTTCCTGAGCACATGGCTAATCTATTACAGCTTCTGCAAGCCGCGCATCATCCCTTAAAATAGCTCTGTTTCTGCATCACTTCTTAGGGTCAGAACGTGCACAGTGCATTTCTCTGCTGAAAGACCTCGCTTTGCCCAACTTTGCTTCACGCTTTATCGGGAACTGAATGAACTCGGCCTTTCAAAGGTCACAGACAAACTTTCTTATCTTTTATGTTCATTGTTCTTCACACCAAAGATGATTTTGAGAGTATATAAAAGTGAGCAAGTTGATGAAAATACTGTCTTGTGGAGATTGAATGAATTGTGGAACGTTATTGAACACCATGCTGACTTGAAAATGTGAAAACAGAAATGTTTATCCACTGACACTAGGGGAAATAAGCACATCTGTTAATGATGCTATAATACCAGTAATCTCAATAATAATAATAATAAGTATAATTATTATTATATAAAAATTATATTAAAAACTCAAA